TGTTAATGGGTTATCGGATCCAAAAACCCGGCCCGATAGCTTAACGGCGTTCTGTTACGGTGGATGCCATGTGTCGGTCACCCTTGACGAAAGCACTTCTGTGACGCGCGATTTATCGTCATGGAAGTGGACACTTCCGTGATGATAATTTTGGTAATTTCATGGAACACTTCTACGATAGCACATGTATAACTATCTTGATTCCGTCATAAAATCGTCATGGATGTACATGCATGACAAAAAACGCGACCTACTGTGACAAACACGTATCATCACGAAAGTGTATTTTTTTTTGTAGTGTTGGCTTGTCATCGGGGTTGTGCATGATTTAAATATTTTGTGTGATGAAAATAGAGCATAGCCAGACTATATGATTTTATAGGGATAACTTTCTTTGGCCATATTATTTTGAGAAGACATAATTGCTTAGTTAGTATGCTTGAAGTATTATTTTTTTATGTCAATATAAACTTTTGTATTGAATCTTATGGATCTGAATATTCTTGCCACAATAAAGAGAATTATATGGATAAATATATTAGATAGCATTCCACATCAAAAATTCCGTTTTTATCATTTACCTACTCGAGGACGAGCAGGAATTAAGCTTGGGGATGCTTGATACGTCTCCAACGTATCTATAATTTTTGATTGTTCCATGCTATTATATTATCAACCTTGGATGTTTTATATGCATTTATATGCTATTTTATATGATTTTTGGCACTAACCTATTAACCTAGAGCCCAGTGCCAGTTTCTGTTTTTTCCTTGTTTTTGAGTTTTACAAAAAAGGAATATCAAACGGAGTCCAATTGACGTGCCAATTTTCACGATTTTTTATGGACCAAAAAAAGACCCCGGAATAAAAGAGTTAGGCTAGAAGAGTCCCGGGGCGTCCACGAGGGTGCCCCCCGGGGCACGTGGGCCTACCTCGTGGACGACTCGGGCACCTCCTTGACGTGAGACCCATGCCAAAAATTCCTATAAGTACAGAAACCTCCAAAAAATAACGTAGATCAGGAGTTCAGCTGCCAGAAGCCTCCGTAGCCACCGAAAACTAATCTAGACCCGTTTCGGCACCCTGCCGGAGGGGGGAATCCCTCTCCGGTGGCTATCTTTATCATCCTGGCGCTCTCCATGACGAGGAGGGAGTAGTCCACCCTCGGGGCTGAGGGTATGTACTAGTAGCTATGTGTTTGATCTCTCTCTCTCTCGTGTTCTTGATTCGGAACGATCTTGATGTATCGCGAGCTTTGCTATTATAGTTGGATCTTATGATGTTTCTCCCCCTCTACTCCCTTGTGATGAATTGAGTTTTCCCTTTAAAGTTATCTTATCGGATTGAGATTTTAAGGATTTGAAAACACTTGATGTATGTCTTGCATGTGCTTATCTGTGGTGACAATGGGATATCACGTGATCCACTTGATGTATGTTTTGGTGATCAACTTGCGAGTTTCGTGACCTCGTGAACTTATGCATAGGGGTTGGCACACGTTTTCGTCTTGACTCTCCGGTAGAATCTTTGGGGTACTCTTTGAAGTTCTTTGTGTTGGTTGAATAGATGAATCTGAGATTGTGTGATGCATATCGTACAATCATACCCATGGATACTTGAGGTGACATTGGAGTATCTAGGTGACAGTAGGGTTTTGATTGATTTGTGTCTTAAGGTGTTATTCTAGAACAAACTCTATGATAGATTGATCGGAAAGAATAGCTTCATGTTATTTTACTACGGACTCTTGAATAGATCGATCAGAAAGGATAACTTTGAGGTGGTTTCGTACCCTACAATAATCTCTTCATTTATTCTCCGCTATTAGTGACTTTGGAGTGACTCTTTGTTGCATGTTGAGGGATAGTTATATGATCCAATTATGTTATTATTGTTGAGAAAACTTGCACTAGTGAAAGTATGGACCCTAGGCCTTGTTTCAACGCATTGCAATACCGTTTACGCTCACTTTTATCATTAGTTACCTTGCTGTTTTTATATTTTCAGATTACAAAAACTTATATCTACCATCCATATTGCACTTGTATCACCATCTCTTCGCCGAACTAGTGCACCTATACAATTTACCATTGTATTGGGTGTGTTGGGGACACAAGAGACTCTTTGTTATTTGGTTGCAGGGTTGCTTGAGAGAGACCATCTTCATCCTACGCCTCCCACGGATTGATAAATCTTAGGTCATTCACTTGAGGGAAATTTGCTACTGTCCTACAAAACTCTGCACTTGGAGACCCAACAACGTCTACAATAAGAAGGTTGTGTAGTAGACATCAGTCATCGGTATGTTACTTGCTCGAGATTTGATCGTCGATATCTCAATACCTAGTTCAATCTCGTTACCTGCAAGTCTCTTTACTCGTTCCGTAATGCTACATCCCATAACTAACTCATTAGTCACATTGCTTACAAGGCTCATAGTGATGTGCATCCGAGAGGGCCCATAGATACCTCTCCGATACATGAAGTGACAAATCCTAATCTTGATCTATGCCAACCCAACAAACATCATCGGAGACACCTGTAGAGCATCTTTATAGTCACCCAGTTACGTTGTGACGTTTGATAGCGCACTAAGTGTTTCTTCGGTATTCGGGAGTTGCATAACCTCATAGTCATAAGAACATGTATAATTTATAGAGAAAGCAATAGCAATAAACTAAACGATCAAAGTGCTAAGCTAACGGATGGATCAAGTCAATCACATCATTCTCTAATGATGTGATCCCGTTCATCAAATGACAACTCTTTGTCCATGGCTAGCAAACTTAACCATCTTTGATTAACGAGCTAGTCAAATAGAGGTGTACTAGTGACACTTTGTTTGTCAATGTATTCACACATGTACTAAATTTCCGGTTAATACAATTCTAGCATGAATAATAAACATTTATCATGATATAAGGAAATATAAACAACTTTATTATTACCTCTAGGGCATATTTTCTTCAGTAACACCCGTCACCTACCTCCGCACCACCACAACAGAAACCAAAGGACGAACCACCTCCTCACCCGAGCTTGGCGTGGCTCCCTCACTAATATGCAGCTTTGCTGACCTCCAAGGTGGCTCACCAAAGGCGGATCCATCATCGTTGAACGAATCAGACTGAGGGAGCACTCCGGACACGCCATCAAACTCCGGATCTGGCACCCCCACATGACTAAGACGTCGGAAGAGGAAACCATACCTGCCTGCCATGAACCACGACCCAACACACGATCCCCCATCTTTCGGATGCCGCCAATGCAAATCACAATCTACATCCGCTCCCGAACTACCTCCCAATCTCCGCGCCGGTGCTGGAGCAGACGTTGTCGCAACGGCGGAGGCCGAGGACACAAGTCCACCACGAGGATGTCCTCATGGCCACACCATTCTTGCTTGAACATACTGGTTTGCAACACCGGGTTGGATAGTTCACCAAGTCACCCTCTGTGTGTAAGTGTATAACTTAGGGCAACTCTAACACGGTTCACCAAGTCGCCCCTAAAAACTAGATGTCCGAGGTGTCTAGTCCAGACATTTTCTTGTCATCCAACACCGGTCATCAAGTTTGTCCGAACCGATCTGGATGTCTGAAATCCTATGAACGGGAACCAAATATAGGGGGAATTTACAGACATCCAGACATGCGCCACGTCGAACTCTGGCACGCCCGGTCCACCCAAAAAACCCAACCAGAGCGGTGCATCGGACATTCCCACCACTTTCAAAGCCTGTCCTTTCCCACTGCTTCCGCCCGATCGCCGCCCACCCACCGTTCGACCGTCCGCCGCCGCGATGGAGCCGTCTTTTTTCTTTTACTTAGGGGCTGTTTGGTTCTAGGCCTAACCATGCCACACTTGCCTAAGGGGATCTTGCCACATTTTTTGAGTGTATGTGATGTGGGACCCTAATGTGACTTGCCTAAGGGGTGGCTTGAACCAAACACCCACCCAAATTGATCAAATTTGCCTAACCTTAGGTGTGGCAACCTTAGGCAAACTTACGACGCGTTTGGTTCGGCCGAAAATGTGCGGCTTCCGATTACAGCGATTTGCGAAACCATAGCTAGCGTTTGTTCCGCTGTCAGCGTTTTCCGCAGTAGCGCTTTTCAATATAACGCTTCAGAAAATCAAAACCGCCCGATAGAGAGGTGATTAGGAAATCAGGACTTTGGTCGCACCAACCAAACAAACAACGTATTGCGAAAAATTAATCGGAAGCAGCAGGTCTTGTTACGGCAAACCGAATACGTTACATGGGTTGAACCAAACGCACCGTTAGTCTTAAACCAAACAGCCCCTTACTCATATAAACGATTAACTCAGCCACACGATAACGACAAGCTAAGCAAAGTCTGTGACGACCAGTGTGACGCAGCGGCACAGGGGTACAATACAATCACCCACGACAGCGAAAGCGTGCCATGCCATGACGAAAAAAAGCTGGAAAGCCGTAAAATTTAACTCCTCCCTTTTGACAGCACCCGAAGCACGAAAGCGGCCGTTAATTCGGAAAAAGCTGACAGACAACCACGAGAGAGAGAGAGAGAGCGTGGACCTGAACGAAAACCATCCAGAAAACGCGTGCGACCCAGCGGCCCGTCCGTCCGTCGGCTCGCCCGTCCTGACCTGACCGGCCACGAGCACGAATCTCGAGGCAGATCGGGCACCATCGATAAGACACCCAGCTGATCTCCCCTCCCCCCTCTCTCTTTCTCCGCACGCTGGCCCCCTCCCCTCTCTCTCTCTCCACCGGGGTACGCGGCCACCGATCCCCCACCCCCGCGCCGCCCGATTCGCCCCCAATCCCCAACCCGCGCCCCCAAATCGCCCAATCCCCGAGCCCCCGCGCCCGATTAGCTGCGACGGGACCGCGTCCGGTTCGATCCGCGGCGCCGGCTCGATCGAGCGGGGGGGACGCGCGCGCGGGTGGTCGGATTCGGGCGAGCTAGGGGTTCGGACGGTGGCCGGCGCGGCCGCCTAGGGTTTACGCCATGGCCGACAAGGGCTGCCTCAAGCGCCTCCAGAAGGAGTACCACGCGCTCTGCAAGGTGAGCTCCCCCTTCCCCTGCCTCGATTCGTGGCGATTGGCGCGGTGCGTTTCGGTTTTGGGAGGGGCTCTGACGCGATTGGCATGCTTGCAGGAGCCGGTGCCGCAGATCGTGGCGCGCCCGCTGCCCAACGACATATTGGAGTGGCGTAAGTAGCTTCCACTTACCGCGCATGTGTGTTTACCGTAATTTGATTTGATGAGAAACGCCTGGGGCTCGCGAACCATGATTGCGACTGGCGGTTTGGTGTTTGTGTTAATCGTTGCTGGGCGTGGCTATGTTGTGGTAATATATGAAGCTTTTGCATTGCACTTGGGCATGCTTATGTTTGCTCACCTGTAGTATCGAAATTTAAGGTTTAAATTGTCGGGCTAATCTTTATAATGTGTCTATGGCCACCTGTTGTATCTGTTGTCTACAAAATCTTCTGCCGTTCTCGAGAATCCTGTAATGTAAATTGGGCTCGTGATTTGGGTAGGTTCGGGCTTTCCCTAGCCCCTGGAAGAAGTTCAGGCACATGCTGTAGAGATGCTAGGAAAAGCTTATTGGCTCCTGCGTGTCATTAGCCAAAGTCGGGTGTTCTCGCGGGAAGTGGCCTGGAGGGTCTGTTGTTAGCTTCCGAAAAATTCAGTGTGAAAAATCTGCATATAGAAGTTTGGATTTGTAGGCGCCTTTCCTGAAAGTGGTGGTTCTCACCTCCCTGTGCCCAAAGCTTACTCATGCATCATTGTCATCTGTGTGCTTGTTTGGTAAAATGGCATGGACTTGGAGACGGGGAAGTGTCACACCAGTGGTCCACGATATATTTGGTGCTATTGGATATTTTTCAACAGTTATCACATTAACTCATGCGGTTGTGGCATTGTCTCGCATCATTATGTTGCACACTGCTTCATGGCCCATCTGTTTTAATTATCTGATGTTTCATCACCTCCAATCTGTTCACTATACATATTGTTCCCCACCAGATTTTGAATTGGTCTGGTTTGTACTTGTACAATGATGGCCAAGGTGTCCTGCCAGTCTTGTATTAAGCTGCATGATAGTTTGATACATATTGCAGGGTCTTGGTATTTTTAATTGTTATTTTGAAATACAACGTTGTGTTTTTGGTTTATGCCCCAAATTGTCGAGTTGCTTATTCCGCTGCTGATGTTGGAGAGTGTATTTTAATTGCAGATCTGGTCATTTTAGGCATTAGGCAACTATGTGAAAAAAATTAAAATTATGCATGTTAGATTTAGTCAATAATTTTTCATTATGAAGTTTTAAACTTGTCTACTGGTGTACATTTAGTTACTCTGATTTTAATGAGTGACACCTAAAAAGCACGGATCTGGACACGGAAACACGGCCACGGTGACATGAATACCAGGACATGGAATACGTCATTTTCCAGAAACAGCCATTCGGGGATACACGACTAAATATAAAGAATTAAAAAATAGGCCATGTAATATGAGGTCAGAATAGTGCCACATTTCCATTTGTTGCATCCCTTTTCAAGTGCTCAATGAGAAACAAAGGATATTTCGGATCTACAACACCAGGCTGCCCTTCACTCTCACCCATGGACGATTGGCTACTGGCGGTGGGGTTCTCAGATGCCATGCTCCCTAACAGCAAGCAAACAGCAGCACCAATATTCAAGTGAGCACAACATCATGCAGCTAATTTAAAACACAAGCAGCAACGGCATTGCCGCATGGGGAAGCAAGCAGCAGCATCTCAACAGGGAGTCACAAAGGGATGAAGAGGTTGAGGAGAGGCTGCTGGGCTTGGGGTTACCTGCTCGAGCGCGTGTCTGCTGCACTTTGGAAACGGCGGCGGTCGAGTCCAGGCGGCGGAGTGTTCGCTGGAGCCTGGAGCAGCTTGTTCCTTTTGTGTCGAGCGTGTGTGTGAGCCTGCAAAATAGGGTTTGTATCGGGCTGAGGCTGTTATTGGGCCTTCCAATTCCCAGCGTATCCCAGCTATGTCCTTTCTTTCAAAATTTGGTAATGAGGGGATATGCGTATCATGGCGTGTCACCATGTCCCGCCATACTAGGACGGCAAATCGGCTGAATCAGCCGTGTCCGTGCTTTGTAGAGTGACACACCTAGCCACATGAATGCTGTCATGCCAGATATTTTACATTAACCTTTTCTGCAAGTCTAATCCTTGTTCGTCTTCCAATTATACTCCCTACATTCCTATGAAGACGGCATAAATTTCTGTTTGCAAACCCCAAGGAAAGCTAGCGCCAGAAATTTCTTTCCCAGCTTGCCTCTAATTAATTACTGCCTAGCGTCTTTGCCCACCATGGAAAATTCCAAGTCCCAATAATCCTGGCTAGCTTTGTATGTGCCCTTGGCCTGTAGCGCCATCATGCATGGCATTAAAAGCAGCCTGACATGCATGCTGTTTTCTCCCAGCCTGCATGTGGCAACCAATTCACACGTACAGCGCGAGATTATAGGAGGAGAACCAGGGGTATTGTAGGAAGAAGAGCATTTGAATCACACCCTGCACCTTGTTTTCAGAAAAATCCAGAGAAAAAAATATACGCCCTCTTCATAGGAACGGAGGGAGTATGTCATTTGCATTGTTGGCATTCTTATTATCAGTGCTGTCTATTTTTGCTCACTTTCAAGCTTGTTATCAAACTATCAGTTACTTAATTTTGTCTTTTGGTTGCCAGATTTTGTACTTGAAGGAAGTATAGCCACACCCTTTGAAGGTAAATATGACACATATTTGAAACTACTATCTTCTGCGTACTATCCTATGCCAGACAGTCTTTTTGCACTTATTTAACAGTCTTTTTGCACTTGTTTTTTCCTCCTGAAGGTGGATATTACTATGGGAAGCTTAAATTTCCCTCTGATTACCCTTTTAAACCTCCAAGTATCAGGTACTGAAACATTACAGCATTGGTTGTGCCTTTTTTAACGACAATTCCTTGTTATTTGGATGTTTAAAACAACTAGTCAATGTGTACGTGCAATGCACGTTAATTAGGAAGTATATTAAGTGATGTGTACGTGCAATGCACGTTAATTTGGAAGTATATTAAGTGCATGCGGATATTAAGTAGGATATTATTTGCATGTTCTTATGTGATTAGCACTATATTTTGGCATGACATTAACTGCACGCTAAACATGTTGAGCGCTCGACATTGAAGTAGTCTAGGTCGTTGGATTGACATGATTTGATGGCCTAGATTAATTGGATCTGCCCCTTTGGGTCTCTTTATATTGGTATAGATTAGATAAAATATGTTGATATCGAATTAATAAATGGACTTTTCTTAGATTTCTACTTACAATTTGTCTTTCTTGCTCAGCATGACAACCCCCAGCGGCAGGTTTGCCCCTCACAAAAGGATATGCCTATCAATGAGTGACTGTAAGCACCATACTGTAATCAGATTTTTTTTACCTTTCTAATCGGATTGAAATAATTCTCATATTGCTTTGTTTTTGCAGTTCATCCAGAATCTTGGAATCCCATGTGGTCTGTAGCAAGGTATGCACATAATGATATACCTCGATGAGTGAGTGATAGTAGTGTCTTCTCATTCCCAGGCCTGGGGAATACGTATTTTCATTTGACATATTTTAAAATATTTTGTGGGTAACTAAACCAATCATGCTTTTCAGCTCCTAAGTTTGAACTTAGATGTATCCCCATAAGATGTTTCTCCTTCAAATATCAGCTACTTGAGTTTATGGTCTTCAGTTACTTGCCTTCAAATTAAATGCTCAACCGCAATTTTCTTATTCTGTATGAACATCCATGAATGATGCTTTTCTGGTTTGCTTGGAAGTCAACCGAACTTTTTATTGAACAAAACATTGAGAACTTGGAACTTGCAACAAATTAAAGTGTACCTTCGCTTTTCCAATGATACAAGTGATCCGTCATTGTCAATCTGTGAATATATTTTGCTATATGGTATTCTTGTGCTTTTCTCTTCACCGGTCTGACATACGCCTTTGTGTTGCAGCATTCTAACAGGACTCCTCTCATTTATGGTAAGTTATTGTTACTTTTTCATCATCTACGAGTTGGCAAAAGAACTTCAATTCAATTCTTAATTGTTGACACACATATTTTGGAGATGAACTGTTCTTCAAGCCTAGCAATTTATACTATAAATACTTACTAAACACTACATTACTACTGCAAGTAATTCTTTTGAGTGTTTTTACGCAATAAATGTTGGTATTTCACTTGCAAGGAGGCAGTACTGTTGGTTAATGTTTCAGTTCTTCTGATAATCTTAATTTTCATGCTAGTCACCTAAATCTAGTATTCTGGTGCTTAAAGTACAAAAGATATGCTTGTACAGCTTTTTGCTGTTTCTTTTATACCCTTAGAATCATCTGGTTTACCAAAGAACATAACTATTTTCCAGCTTCTTGCCTTCTGATGTAAACTGTAAAATTGTTCTTGTATTTGTAGATGGATGATGCTCTTACAACTGGAAGCATCAGAAGTACAGATGGAGAGAAGAAGCGTTTAGCAAAGGCTTCTCTTGCTTACAACTGTGAGAGGTAAATGCATTTATATGCAAGATAGGCTTAGTTCTTTTGGGTGTTGACTGAGAAAAAGGTTAATCCTTCGGATGCAGGAATTAGCAGTAGCTTTCGCTCACTGTTCAGTAAATATGCTTCCATAATTAATATCTTGGTTTTTTGTTTTTAAGGGATTCTATCTCATTCAGTATTTCCCAAATGCAATGAACTCAGTGTACCAGTGCCAAATCACTGCATATCTAATTCACTTTTAGACAGCTGACATTTGTTGGCTTATTCTGAAATGACATTTATTCTTGTGTCTTGTTTTGACTACGCCTTCTTCCACACGAGATATCCCTGTTCCAAACCATGAGGTTTACTCAAGTCTGCTCTTGTTCCACAGCAAAAATTGCCCGCACTTCAGGAAACTGTTTCCTGAGTATGTTGAGAAGTATAACCAACAACAAGAAAAGGAGCAAACTGGCGCGGAACCAGAACCCCAGGAGAACCATGCCCTAGCTCCTTCTCATGCCGCCGTCCTGCAGGCGGCAGCTATGGTGAACAATATAGGAAGACCAGTGGCCGAGGTCCGCGGCGAAAAGAAGCTGAAGAAGCGAGTGCCCTTTTGGCTGATGGTGGTTATTGTCTCTGTTTTTGGCGCGGTGATGGCCTTGCCCCTGATGCAACTTTGACAGTAAAAAGTCGAATAAAGTGTGACAGTGGTGCCGTAATTTTGTATAGCTTTCTGTTGGTTTGTGCAACTCAATTCTTCATCCGTGGACTACCACCTTGGAGACATGGTGATGAACTCTTGTGATGGTAAAACTGTAGAACCGTATTCTCACTCCCTTGACGAGAAACTCTACAAGCTGCTTTATTTGAGCTTCTTGGAACTATGTTTTTTCTCGTCTTCTGTTTCGAGCCGCTCCCAGCATTGCTTTGCCCGCTAATGTTTATCTTCAAGGTGTAGAAATGTATCAGAAGTAGCATACCATTAATTTCATGCTAGGTTAAGAAGGGCTTGCTAATTGTGACCCGTGTCTGCGCTAAACAATGCTCTTTCTGCTGGGTATCTCTGGGAGATACGTCTCTTTCAAAGTGCTGCTTCACAATTTTCTCCAAATTCGGTTGCCTTGTATTTCTTGGCTAGCTGCTTATTTGGTGACTCGATTGTTTGTGTTCACCTACAGCACTAGCTGGAGCTGTTGGCGTTGCAGCTTTTCTGGAGAGCGAACTGTGTAGCACACGCCCCAGGGTCCAGGGATGCCCACTAAAATTACGGTGACCTGAGGGCCAACCTCAGAACTGTTGCAGTGAACTGAACTGAAAGTCGGTCTGCTTTCTCACCTTTGCATCTATTCAGATAACGATTCAACCAAACTCTTATGTGCTTAGTGCTATCAAGGCAACCCTTACTCCTGCTTATGGTCTTAGATGTCGATCACGATAAACATTTGTGCCCTATTTGGTTGTCTCTTCGCTACACAAAGCTCTCCCTGTTGAAAACATTGGGAATACGTTTTCGCCACTATCCATCTATCTACACTAAGCGTGGTTGGAAAGAAAACTCTGTAGACCTTAAAGAGGATGAGTTAAGGCTTAGCTAATTTGATGGCCCCGTCTGTGTTTTGTTCACTGACAGCACTAGCTGCTAGTGCCACGTTGATTTCTAAATTTCCGTATGCCAATATGTATACATGATTTCAATAATTGAAAGGTGGTTAAATATTTCAGTATAATATTATAGCATGCGTATTGCATATCCCGTTTGCTAGTCAAGTTTATGAACAGGGATTTCGAGATACCTCCCGCAAAAAAAAAACATTTCGAGATCCAACCAATTAAGCTTCAAATGTTGATTTTTTAATCACCCGGTCAATTAGTCAACGTCATTATTCTTCATACATGTGATACTAGTAATTCCTACCGATGCACTTTATTGGTGAGTTACATTCCACTCTGGATCTCACCTACCACACTCGACTCTATGCTATATAGTCGTAATGCATTTCTCCTACGCAATTACATGAGCAAGAAATGCAATGCATGACCTCTCTTGTGTTGCTTGATCAGTTATGTACACACCTATATAGCGAATGAGAGGCAGCGAGAATAGTTTTACCCTAACAAAGAACAGACTTTGACCACACCTGGAAATTGCATACGTGCACAAATACCAAGGCTCCGCTCGGCTTACAGGAAAAAGCAAAAGAATCAATTCCTGTAGTTTTTCTCTCCGTCGATGCGTTCGGAACGCAGGAATTGGGAACAGTACTTCTAAGGAATGATGGGCCTATACCCACGATTCCAGAGGAAAAGAAATATCCGCCTCAATATCTTTTTTTCTCGCGTAGGCTCGAGGCAAGAGAGAAGCTCAGTTAATAAACAATGTTTCTTTTCATGTGGCCTGTACGAAAAAACACATTTGTTCTATTTTTTTAATCAACCCAAGCATCAATTTCCTATGGTTCTCGCCCCTTTGATCTAAACACCATCCTTTTGTTTCTATCCTCCATTTTTCACTCCTTGGTTTTACCACAGCAATCCTGTGCCTTCAATGAGTCCCATAGTTTTCTCTCCCTCCAACCCGAACGGGGCCCAAGTTGGGGTTACTTGAGAAATCGAGAGACCGTGTAGGGGTAGCTGATGAGAAACCTGCAAAATTCTTTATTTGAGTTTTTTCATACCTTTTGATTGTCTAGTGTCAGAACTTTTCAAACAAATTTCTGTTGTATATTTTTTACCAACAACGGTCATATACCCATTGACATGACCCAGCGAGGCCAGCCTCGCCACTATGCCAATTAAATTACGACGAACAAGTGTCATCTTAGTATATATGTTTACGCAGAAAGCACTGTCCTCCTTATCAAATGTTAGCTCAAGCATCCGATTGAGTGACGATGGTGTATGGTAGAACCTCTAAGTTCAGTGAAAACCCCATGATTCAAACTTCTTGGCAGGTTTGATGAAGGTGAAGCATGTTTCTTTTGCTTTAAAACCTTCTCTACCAAAGATGGTTCACAAATTAGATTTTGGGACGATACATGACTTAGCAATGATCCTCTTCGGGAATAAGACCCATGATTGTTTCATAATGTAAGAAACGAAAGCGTCATAATTATGGAAGTCTTCAGTATGTCTTTGGGAAATATTATTTCAGATGGGACCTGTCGGGCCAAGGCTAAGCAGCTATATGGTCTTCTTACAGAAAAACTACAGGAACTTGATTCTTTGGGTCTTACACTGGCACAAAGTTCGAATGAGTTCCAATGGGTTCTCTATGTATCTTGCTAGCACTAATTAACAATAAAATACTATGGAAACTAAAGATTTTGCTAAAAGTTAAACATTTAATTTTGTATTCATTGGTGGTTTAAAAAAATACATAATCTCTCTAACCAAAATTTTAATGGAAGTGATGTTGTTTATGTTGTAAAGATGAAACAACCAAACATCTCTTATTTGAATGTAAGTTGCTCGTTTTGCATCGTCGGCCATCCAGGTTGCTTCTAATTTGTGTCAGTGATGGGCTATTCTAAATATGTTTGGTAACTAGCTGCAGGGTATTGATATGAAGCATAGACCCCAATCCTAGTTGGGTGGCAACATTATGCTTGTCGATGTGGATATGTAGAAATAATGTGATCTTTGGTAAAATCAACCC